CCAACTGGGCAGCAGTTAGGAGGTTAAGTGAGCACATAGACTTAATGGGCCTAAAGCCCAATTCGAACTGGCTTAATAAGATTAATTAATTAGGGGCGGTTCTGGGATTTAGATCAGCAGATAGAATAAGGGATTATCCCTATCCACTCGGAGAGTCCAGATCTAAATAAAGATTTGGATCAGGAAACACCTAATTTGATTAGGAAGGCTAAACTTTATCTGCAGATAAGATAAGGGATTATCCTTATCTCTTAAAGAGAGTCCAGATCTAAATACAAGATTTGGATTAGAAAACTCCTAATAGGATTAGGAGATCCTCTCTTTAAAGGCTATAAATAGAGGAGAAGGGCGAACCTCCAAAAGACACAACAAGAAATCAGATCAAGAATTCTTGGTTCGCAAATCACAGAGAGAAGGATCTGCAGTTTGACTGCTCCTGCCTTCTGCTCTTTCCTGCTCTTGCCGCCCCTGCCAGTTCGATCTCCACTAGTGGGAATGATCAAGAAAGGTTCTTGATATTATCTTTTGGTAGAAAAGATAATCTGAAGTCGTGCTCACCAGCCCTCCATTACATTCTAGCTAAAGAATTTGGTTCTTGCAGAAGAACCGTCCTACTGATTCTGCTTCATCCTGCACCATGTCATCTTCGGTGGAAGCAGTCTTTGGACTTCTCCTTGGGCGTGAACACCTTCATTGGGGGTTTACCACTACTCCATATCAGATATATCCCTCTCCTCCCTTTTGGTTTCAAATCTGGTCCGTTTTGGTTTCAAGATTGATCTTTGAAAATGCAGTTTTCTAAAATAGGGAATGCGATTCCCACATGGGAGAGATAAATTTTTGAAATTCGCCCAACCTTCCTGTAGGGTTCGGCCATCGATATGATGGATCTCTCATCCCTTCAATCACACAAAAAAAAACAAGAGTTAATGGGGAAGAGATAAGAGGGTTTCTCTCTCTATGACTGCATTATCAATCTGTACTCGCTATTTTTCTCCATCTATGAAATTCACAACTACTGATCCTAAAAAAAACTGATAAAGATCCTGAAAATATTAAAGATTACAAAAAGAGGAAACTAATCTACAATTCTATATATGGTGATATAGAATTTTTATAAATGCAGATTATGGGATTAATATATATCAGAGTGGAGTACAGGCTGTAAACAGGGATACCATATTTTAAAGAAGGGACTGTATGCTTGGAAAGAGAGATCAGAATTTTAGGGTAGTTTTGATTTCAGGTTCATAGAGTGTAATAAAAGTGCTAGAGAAGCAGCAGAAATTGATAACCACACAGGCAAATGTCGGAGTGCTCTAACTGTATTTTGTACAGAGAAAGGGTTAAACTTAGGAAAAAAATTATAATCAGAAATTTAATTGTAATATTTTCCCATGGGGAACTGTTTTGCAAATTGGATATTCCAGTCTTAATATAAAGAATCTCTCAGTTGAGAGAGAGATTTACTTTGGTTTAAAGCGCTAATTTTTCTTTCTTTTCCATCATTCTCCTTTTCTCTCTTTTTTCATACCATTCACGACAATCATAAACAATAGTACCTTGTTGTGAACAAATTTTGATTCAAAGATGTTTCAGTGGAAAATGTTATGTGATACATAAAAAGATTAATTGTCCTTGTTTGATATTTGAATGAAGTATTAAATATTAAAGTATATGGGAATGCATATATGGTAACAACAAATAATTTTAAAAGAGATAATGTTTCTAATTGTCCCACTCTTTAGTTCTTTTTTTAACGTTTCAGACTGTAACCAAATAGTAACTTAAAATAAAAAAAAAAAATGAGATAAGTTCAAGTCTTAATACCAGAAAAAAGAAAATCCCAAGGGTCCAATTAAAGACCTTTTTAGACACCAAGGCAGAATTAGAGTAACCTTTACATTGAATAACCATGTAGAAACCATAAAATTACACTGCAACAAAGAACTTTCATACTATGTCATTGATGTGGAATAGCATGGAATTTTCAAACCAGTCAAAATGCAATTCTTTTAATTCTGACCAGGGAACTCCATTCTATATTTCATCTTTGTCATTGTTTGATCATATTGTAAACTTGAATTTTTACCTGATAGAGAAGTGCACTGTTGGAACCCAAGGAGCCATCAGCAAAAGCCTTAACACCACCCAAATAGATCCATTGGCTAATGACTCGACCAGTCTTATGAAACAGATCCTAAAAGAGTAAACAAGGATAAAAGTTTAGAAAAGAGTAGTAGGTGAAAAACATTTTACTTAAAAATGGCAATTGGCAAGTAAGAATTCCCACCAAAACAGGAATAGAAACCCTAGTAGAGGGCAAATAAGCCAACAGAAAGTGATCCAAATGAGACAATGCCTAGGGACGAATGTTATAGAGGGCAACATGTTTTATGGTTTTGTGAGAAATTTTGAATGAAGGAGTATTTTTTAAGGCTCATTGAAACCCCTATGAAGAATTTTTTAGGATACTTACTTCTAAAGGTTTGAGCTTTGGTTCCACAAGGTTTCAAAGAAGCCATATTTCATGCATGTCAACAATGTTTCATTCTCCACCTATCAAAACCTTTTACCAACATCAAGCAACCATATGAATATCTAAAATTCTCCTTACACTTTACTACATGTCTTCTCACCGTCCTTTGAAGCCAGAAGATACAGATTTTACCAGTCCTTAAAATCAAGATTTGAAGTTCTCAAGATATCAGAGCTTGATTGTCTCACTTCCTACTCGAAGTGGAAGTAATCACAAATGGAGCAAATACACAGTAGCTGGTACATCACTATTCATTAAGGAGATCTAACAACAATGGAAATTACATTTTGTAAATCAGGTTTTACAGAAAAGCACAAGGCAAATATATGTTTATTGCACACGGAATGATGGGGAGTGGATTAAAAGCATTTACAATGGGAATTCATAGTCTGGCTTGTGTGGCGACTGGAACCAAGGCTACTGTTAGTAAATTCCCAAGAATTTCAAATACAATGTTGAACCAGGAAACTAGTCTATTGAATAAATCAAGCAGATCAGGGGATGTGTCAATAGTTCTTGCAACTCCATGAAAATATGGACAGCCACAAATCTTATGGAAGTTTGAGAAAGAATATGTAGAGAACATTAATGTGGTCCCCACTACTGTTTGTTTATTTATGTTAGTGGTAGTTTGTACTTATTTTCCAGTTTTCTATATTTCTTATTTCCATGGTTTGAAATGTCGGTGTCAGTGGAAATGTTGGTCATCCAAATATAAGAAACATATCAGAAATGTCAGAAATATCATATGGAAATATTGTAAAAGTTATAGATATGGTGGAAATATTGTAACATATGCAAAATATAGAATGGTATTTTTTGAAATGATAAAAGAAGAATAGGCACACCTTTTAAAATTATTATCTTATTCCAAATCATTAAACGAAGCTAAGAAACTAAGGTTATAGACGAAAGAATGTGTTTTGAAGTTGCCCTGTAAACCTCAAGATTCAGAGCTTCACGATAGAATGAGTTAAAGCAAAATTTAAACTCATAGAAAATGTAAATGGTTGTAATAGATCAACCAAATAGTCTATTACACAAACAAAAACTAATACTTAACTTCATATTTGAAATGAATATTGAGTTAGCTCAAAGTGGTAATCATATAAGTTAGGTGGGCAATAACTTGCTAATTCACATAACTACAATATTGTCACCAACTTATGTTATAATACTCTCTCTTGTACTCCACATAGTATTGGTAGTGTTCTTTGGGTAAATGTCAATTCCAATAAAATTCCGTATCATTACCCATGGAAGTGAAAATGGAAATATTCTTATACTCCACATAGTGTTGGTAGTGTTCATTGGGGAAATGTCGATTCCAGTAAAATTTCGTGTCACTGCACATGGAAATGGAAATATGTCGTGGAAATTATAGGGAAATTAGGGACATTTTAAACCATTTATTTGTGTTTATGTAAACAGTAGGGGTAATTCTGGTTTTTCCCCTATTTTAACTATTAATATAAATAGCTAAGTGGAGCAACAATTCATGTCATAACCCACACTCTTTTTGACTTCCTCCCTTCATCTTCTCCTTCTTTTCTTCTCTTTCTTCTTCTCCTCTCATCAAACCTTTTTCTTGTTTATTGTACATTATAACTAGGACTGATTGCAGTCCTACTAGACAACTGAATATTGTCAATGAGTTAAATCTCCAAAAATGAAACATACTTGAACAAAATATAAGAAAATCCATAAGTTGAAACAACAGATTTCTTTGCCACTCTTCAATAAAGCAGATAATACCTTAGGCCAATATTGTTTCTCAAAAGAAGGCCAATATAAATTGCTTTGGCAGCCAAGGGGATGCAAGTATAGAAGAAAAACAGTCCCAAAAGAATGAGAGAACTGATTTAAAAGGTGTGAAATACAAAGTAGATATCAGCAGCAAGAAGAAGAAGAAGAAGAAGAAGAAGAAGAGTTCGGCTGTGAGAGGGTTGCAGAGAAGAGTTGTTCATACAGCTCCTCCTTCCTAATCTTTTCATTAAGAAATAATTACTAATTTTCTGAAATTACAAGTAGGCCCTTAATTGGGTGGCCAACTAATTAAACAAGAAAAAAAAAGGTTTAACAGGCCCATTAAAAAAAGAATAGAAACATAAAGAAATAAAACAGGTGTGGTCTATGGGCTATGGGCCATTCAGCCCATCCTCTCTACACTCCCCCTCAAACTGAGCATAGATGTCAATCATGCCCAGCTTGCCAATGTCATGTTGTAGCTTGTCCTTGGAGATTCCCTTGGTAAGAATGTCAGCTAACTCTTCTTTAGATGTAATGAATGGTAGACAAACTTCTCCAGAAACCACTCTTTCTCTGATGAAATGCCTGTCAACTTCAATATTTTTTAGTTCTATCATGTTGCACCGGATTGTGGAAATGTTAATGGCGGCTTGATTATCACAATATAGCATCAATGGTTTATCATACTCAACACCTAGTTCCTCCATCAGGGATCGGAGACAAAGTAACTCAAAAACTCCATGAGCCATAGCCTTGTACTCAGCCTGAGCTGAAGATCTAGCAACAACAAATTGTTTCCTGCTTCTCCAAGAAATAATAACCTGCCACCATACTACAGTATCCCGAAGTTGACCTCCTATCATCAATGTTGCCTACCCAATCAGCATCTGTATAGGCCTCCAGTTTCATATTACTAGGTTTAGCAAAAAGAATCCCCTTCCCTAGAGTACTCTTCAAGTAACATAAAATCCGCTCTATTTCCGCCATATGTGTATCTCTAGGAGTATGCATGAATTGGCTAATGCAGCTAACAGCATATGCAATGTCAGGGCGAGTCATACAAAGATATGGCAATTTCCCTAGTAATCTTTGAAACACTCCCTTATCCTTCAACAGTTTTCCATCAGAGGAAAAAAGTTTGTGACTCATATCAATAGGAGTAGCCACTAGTCTTGCACCCATTTTGCCTGTTTCAGTGAACAAGTCTAGCACATATTTGCACTGAGAAATACAAATTCCATCCTTAGACCAAGCCACTTCAATAAAGATTTCGGACTCAAATCAATGTCAGTCACTACAATATCATCCACATAGACTATAAGATATACCACCAATGAACCTCCCCTCTTCACAAAGAAGGTATGGTCAAACTGAGTCTGTGTGTACCCAAAGTTAACAAGAGTAGCCCTAAACCTTTCAAACAAGGCTCTAGGTGACTGTTTGAGCCCATAGAGAGACTTCTTCAGCTTGGACACTTTTCCCTCCCTATCTGTGCCATACATCCCTGGTGGGAGGGACATATAAACCTCCTCATGTAATTCACCATTCAGAAATGCATTTTTCACATCCAATTGATAAAAGGGCCAATCTAAATGAGCTGCCAAAGATAGCAGGACCCGCACAAATGTCATCTTTGCATCAGGAGCAAAGGTCTCCAGATAGTCAATCCCATAAGTTTGTGTATAGCCTTTTGCAACCAATCAAGCTTTGTTCCTCTCCATAGAGCCATCAGCATGATATTTGATGGTATACACCCATTTACAACCCATTTCCCATGTGTCATTCTTGTGCAAAGCCTCTATTTCAGTTCTCATAGCATCCCTCCATTCTAGAATAGAAAGAGCTTCTAATACAGACCTGGGTATAGGGTTAGAAGCAATAGAGGAAAGAAAGAAATAATATGAAGGAGAAAGAAGGCCATAGGAAAGATGTTTGGAAATGCAATGTGCAATACACTTCCGTTTACCTTTCCTAATGGCAAAAGAGACATCAAGGTTTGGGAAGGGAGGTTGCAAGGGTGTGGTATCAGTACCTATTGTCTCTTCAACAACTAGAAGTGTAGGAGGCTCATGTGATGTAGAGAAAACAATCTGCTCACTCCTGATTTTTACCGTTAGTACCACCTATGAGTAGAAAGATGACGAGGAGGCAATGGAGGAGGAATAGGAATAGTGGAGGGATCCAGAGATGATTGTTCCCCTTGTACTCAACAGGAATAGAAGAAAACTCAAGTGAAGGCTCAATAGGAACAGGAAAGGGGAGTGCAAACAACTGTGACAAATACTCCCTTGTGAACAATACTCTCCCTGAGATGAACCATAGAAAGGAGTGGACTCAGAAAAGTAACATCCATTGAAACATAACGAGTCCCAGTGCTAGGATCAAAACAACAAAAACCCTTCTATGTGGAGGCATAACCAAGAAAGATACACTTATGGGCCTTTGGTTCAAATGTGTCTCGGGTACTAGATATGTGTACATAACAAGTGCAACCAAAGACACGAGGGGGAATAGAAAAAAGGTCCTTATCTGGTTAAAGAAGGTTAAAAGGAGACTTAAAGCCCAAAACTCTAAATGGCATACGATTGATTAGGTAGGTTATAGTGAGAACAGCATCCCCCCAGAATCTTGTAGGAACATGTGAGGCAAACAAAATGCTTCTTGCAACTTCAACTATGTGACGGTTCTTCCTCTTAGCGACTCCATTTTGTTCTGGAGTACAAACACAAGAGTTCTAGTGGATGACCCAAAGTCAGTGAGATAAGAGGTTAGGTTTTTCTCAAAGTATTCTTTTGCATTATCGGGTCTGAATATTTTGATTCTTGTATCAAACTGGGTAAAAACAAATTCATGGAATTGCCTCACAAGCTTGAGAACTTCATCACAAGACCTCATCAAAAATAACCAAGTGTACCGAGAGAAATCATCAATGAACAAGATAAAGTTTGATCTTCACAAACACTCTCCCCCTGAAGAGAAGGACAAGTGGACTGAAAATATGGAATAGACTCAAGGAATGTAACATCCTTAAAAACATACCTTTGGCCAATATGGGGATCAAAGCACTTGTACCCCTTTTGGACTAGAGAGTAGCCAATTATATGCATTTAATAGATTTAGAGTCAAGTTTCAAATGAGAAGGACTCATGCCATGAACAAAGTAACAACAACCAAAGACTCTAAGAGGCAAACTGAAAATAGGACCCTTAGGAACCAGGATTGGCTTGGACTGTTGAGAACCAAAATCAACATGCCTCCATTGTTTGGGAAACACCCTCAATTCCCTATACTTTTGACAACCCTCTTCACCACTCTCCCCTTCAATTACTGGAATAGGTAAAGGAACTTCTAAGGCTGAATTAACCAACTCACCACTCTCCCCCTGAGAAGAAACCTTGTGATAGTAGGGTACGTTCTCAAAGAATGTCACATCCAATAGAAACAAACTGTCTACTAGAAACAAGATCATAACAGCAGTACCCCTTTTGATTTTGTGCATACCCAAAGAAGATACACTTAGCAACTTTGGGATCAAATTTGGAGCGATGAGGTCCAAGAATTTGAACAAAACAAGTACATCGTTTTAAGAGGGATAGCAAACAAATCCTTGTATGGAGACAACAGGTTAAACGGTGTTCTCATGTATAAAACCCATGAAGGAATTCTGTTAATGAGGTATATAGCTGTACAGATGGCATCCCCCCAAAACTGTATGGTAACATTAGAGTTTAGCATGATGCTTCTGGCTACCTCCAAGATATGTCGATTTTTTCTCTCAGCAACCCCATTTTGCTGAGGTGTATGAGAACAAGTGCTCTAATGGATGACTCCATAATCAAGGAGATATGAAGCCAAGCGTTTTGCAAAATACTACTTGGCATGTTCAGATTGAGGATTTTGATCCTGACTACAAATTGGGTCAACACCATCTAATGGAAGGCCCAAGTCAGAGCAGGGACCTCATCTTGAGAGTGCATAAGGTAAACCCACGAGAAACAAGTACAATCATCAACAAACAACAAGAAGTATTTGTACCCCCCAGTAGTAATACGATATGGTTCCCAAATATCTGTATGCACAATTTCAAAAGGAACATTGCTTCTTTTATTGCTCAAAGAATAAGTTGATCTACAACACTTTGCAAGTTTACAACTCTCACACCTCAAACACACTTGGACTGACTCAAAACAAATTGGGAAACAAACTCTTCAAAGACCCGAAAGACAAATGACCCAACCTATTAAACCAAAGCATAATTTGACTCACTGAATGAGAAACAAATAACTCCCCAACTTCAATATCCTTCCCCTGTGGATGCTCAAACAGGTAGACTCCATTCGTCTCACGGACAATCCCAATCACCTTCCTTGTTTTCATATTCGGAAAAACACACAGATCAGGGAAAAAGGTCACTAAACAGTTCTGATTCTTAATAATACAACTAACTGAAAGCAGATTAGTACTAAGCTTAGGAACATGCAGGACTAAAGACAAGGAGATGGCATCAGACAATCCAATGTTTCCCTTGCTAGAGATAGGCACAAGAGAACCATCAGCAATAGATACTTTGTCTTTTCCAGAGGATAGACAGTAGGTAGTAAACAAGGTAGATAAACTAGTCATATAATCAGAAGCACCGGAATCTATTATCTAGAAAGGTCTAGTGTTACCTAGGACTGCTGCATGATATGGTGTATCTCTTGTACCTGAGTGAGCAAACACTGAAGTGGGAGTGACAAATGTAGCTGGTAGATGAAATGAAAGTCCAGAAGTAAAAGCTTCACTTTCTAACTATGTCAAGGCAGCTCGGACAATAGCTAGGGCATCTAGGGATGTGGTCCTTGTGTTGGAAGATGATGCACTATCAGTGGTGACTGCCACAGTAGCATTTCCCTTCTTATTTCTAAGTCTAACCAAACAAGACAAGGGTACAACTTCCAACAAGTGTCCCTAGTATGTTTCGACTTCTTACAATGATCACAAAATATCTCCCTTGTATGTTCCTTTTTCATTTCCTTTTCCTTAACTCCCCCAAATTTTGTTTTCATTGCTGCTAAGGATGATTCCATGGGCTGAAACTGTAACATCACCTTTCTCCTACTCTCTTCACTGTGCGCAAGTGAATAGGCCTGAGATAATGTCACACTCTCCCTAGTAAGTAGTTGTTGTCTTACAATGTCAAATTCTGAATTCAGACCAACTAGGAACTCAAATACTTTGTTTGTTTCAATCAACTTGCTATAAGTTGTTGCATCTCTCTGACTTTCCCACTCAATTGTCTCCAAATGGTCAATTTCATGCCATAGAGATTTCAAAGTAGCAAAGTAAATGGAGACTGGCTTCTCCCCTTGCTTGAGATTATTCACTTCACACTTCAGTTCATAAGCCCTAGCAACATTAAGGGGCTGGGAGTAGGTCTCTTTCATATTATCCCAAATTTCCTTCATTGTTTTTGCCCATAAATAATTTCGGCTAATGTGAGGCTGCATTGAATTGCACAGCCATATCATCACCAAATGGTTTGTGATGTGTCTTCCTTTGTTCGCTTCTTTATATCCCCAATCACATAACCTAATTTCCCTTTACCCCCAATGGACATCATGGTTGACTGGGCCCATTCCAAGTAATTGGTTCCATCGAACCTAACAATAGTAATCTGAAAAGAACTTTAAGTCATGCTTCCAGCCCCAAAAAAATCTTCCCCTTGAATCATTAATTAACTTCCAGCCTTCTCCATTTTATATGAGATACTAACAGTCACTACTTCAAGAAGAAAACCTCTGAACTCCTTTTATTTGAAATCAGCCACCCAAAAACCATTTACAGGTTACTATAATTGTCCAGGAGTCAACCATAGTCAAAGAACAAGTCTGGGAGCAAGAACTGATCATGGGGTTTTGAGAAACCCTAGAGAATAGAACAAGAAAAATAGAGATCTGTCAAAAACCCTAAATAAACTAGCAAGGGAGACTGAACTCTGTTAACCACTGCTTCCAGAGTGGTTTAAACTGCTCTTATTTAAGGTTGGTCTTAATAAAGAGAAGTTCTTTTCTCAAAAGAAATTGACCGCCACCTTTAATCCCAGTTTAAACCCTAAACTTGGACTTACCTGATTTCTCTGATCCTTCCTGGTCACCGGGCACTCTCCAAAGGTCATGCAATCCCTTGGGCAGCAACTCAAGAATCAGGCAATGATGCAGAACTTCCGGTCTTAGAAAATTCTCATGCAACCGACAAGATTAGGCTCACATGAGAACCCTAATCTGTCCTAGTTTGGCTCTGATACCAACTTGGATAAATTAGACCAGAAACTACTTGTTTTCTGGTATAGATTCAGTAGAAAAAAAAAAAGAAAGGAAGGTCACAAAAAGAAGAAAAGAGAGAAGAGAAGAAGAGAAGGAAGAGAGAAAAAAAGGGTGTGGTTCAATTGATTCTGCCGCCCCACCAGATTAGTATTTATATATTGTATCTTAACTGTAGTGGGGTTACATAAATACCCTTGCTGAAACAGAAATAAATATTAAGCAATATATCTGGCCTAACAACCATAACTACCATGCAATAAATATATAAAAAATATTAGTGGGACCACATACACACTAACAACTAACAACTATCTCTACAATAATTTCTGCTGATATGAGGCTACATTGAGTTGCAAAGCCAAGTCATGACTAAGTTTCTTCAACCCACTTTGCATAGGAAGGGTCTTCCTTGGCTGGCATCTTAGTGTCACCATTTACATAGCCTAACTTACCCCTTCCTCCAATGGGCATCATTGCAGATTGAGCCCACTCAAGATAGTTTGCTCCATCAAACTTAGTGGTTGTAATCTGGAAGGAATCGCTGTCTGTCACACTACCAGCCCCTACAAGTCCTTCCCCGATTGATTTAAACTCATTTCCAATATTCTCCATGCTGAACTGAACAAGGTATCACTCGTCCCAACCCTTTTCTGATAAAAGAAATGATTTCCCCTTTAAAAAATCAGCAGTCAAACTGTAACCAATCGGCTGCAGAACAAAACTGGTTATTCCAGCAAGGAGAAACCCTAGGAAACAGAAGAGAACACAAGAGAAGTTCCAGCCACAACTTCCAGAGGCCTCTGAATACTCTCCACTAGCATTCGATCTCTAAACAGGTCAAAAAACTACCCAGAAAATACTGAGGGCCACCTTCAACTTGAGGTTTAACCCCTAAACCTCAACCAAACAAGTATCTCTGATTCTTCCGGATCACTGGGCAAAGCAGAAAGCAGAGAAGTGCAATAACAGTGCACCAAACTCCACTGACCTCCAAGAATCAGGAAAAAATGGTTTGAAACTCCAGCCCTAATAGAGTCTCATGTAGCTGGCTGGGATAAGCATACATGAGACCAAAAAACTAAACCTAAACCTTCTCTGATACCAGCTTGAAATACAGCTGTAGCAGTCCTAGGTTTAGTTTGAAATATGTTCAAGAGAAGAAAAGAAGAGAAGAAAAGAAGAAGAAGAAGAAGAAGAAGAAGAAGAAGAAGAAGAAGAAGAAGAGGAGAAGAGAAGATGAGAGAAAGAGAGAGCAGAATCGAATCCTTTCTGCCGGTCCCCTCATTGGCTTTTATATGACTTGACAAAAAAATGGTACAATGACAAAAATACTCCTGTTGACTGTGACAAGAAAAAAAAAACACAAAACAGCAACAGAAACAGTACTAAATAAAAATGGAGAAGCAACTAAGTGTTCTTGTCTACATCTCTACAATAGCCATTGTAGTTAAAATACAAGACAATGACATAAGTAAAAAATTGATAATATTACAATGTGATATCTTACAAAACATCTTACAACTAAACGTGACCATGTCTCCACTGGGAAGAATAAGCAAACTCTAATCAGCATTTTCCCACTAGAATCAGCCCATCTGTGAACATCTGTCATTTGTTAGAAGGGAATCCTGATCAGTAAAGAAGTAAAAGACAAATCCCATGTATATTACAAAATGAATTACTAGAGATATTTTGTAACTAAGAAAACCTGAAAAATCTTCCCAAACAAGTTCTGGTGATACACCAGGCAAATATCTCCCAAAATCAACAACTGTTGTCACTCCCTTCATCAATGCAAATTTGCTTGCTCTTAGTAAAGCATCTCTCCTCTCATCTACAGAGACCTCAGGAATCAAGGATTTCACAATGCTCATTGCAGAGTCAACTAGCAACCCTGTGGGCTCTGCAAAATAAAGTGATGATCAAAAAGCTTTATTCACATTTCTTAATAGAACCATTAACATGAAAGCAAATATATCTGAAACTGAAATTTTATTAAAAAGTACCAGAGATATGGACAAATATGGGTGATATATGCCAATGAGCTATTCTGGATTATGCATCACTTATCCAGAACAAAACTTCATTCTCTTAAGTTCCTAGGACAGTAGGATATTTTGTGCTTTCAGGGATTTAAATTAGAACAAAATGGAACCAAGAAAATATGTATTAAAGATCAATATTATACAAACATACATAATAAGAAACCAGAAAAAGGCTGGAAGAAGAAACCAAGAAAATATCCTTCAGAGTAGGGTATTCACTTAGCCAGAAGATGCAATTTATGTGAGGCTGCAGAAGAGAATGTCCTTCATTTGTTTGTTGGTTGTCCCCACACGAAATTTTTATCGGGCTTCTTCTTTGGCCTACTTAATGCTAGCTGGGTGGAACTGAGATCTTCAGGAGACATTTTTTATCAATGGCAAACTATGAGAGGAAATCATCAAGGCAAAGATAGTTTGGAACTGTGTCCCTTTTATTATCTATTGGGAGGTGTGGAAGGAAAGAACCAAAAGAATTTTCAAGAAGAGATCAAATCACTCAGGTGTGCAAAAACGATAATGAATTGAGATACCATTCTTCCAGAGTTTGAAGGAGTTTCAAGAGATGAGGATCTTGGCCATGGATTTTGGGCACTTCTCCGTTTGGAATCAAGTTGATAGTTCAACTTTTTTGTTAGTTTTTCTTATTCACAGGCGTTTTGAGTTTGAAGTTTTAGTTTGTGGTGACTTATCATCACCCTAGCTGTTGTACTCCTTTTTCTTTCTTGTTATCAGGCCTGTATTTAATTAAATAAATAAAGGAAAACCTCCTAATATGATTCAACTTGCGTGGAATTCTTTGTCTTGTTTCTGAATCTTCAGATTACAAAATACAATCAGGTAGCAATCTGCTTTGGAATCTGCAGGTGGGGTCATATATGGATGTTGGGTGCAGTCACACTGTCTACAGATTAAGATTGATCCACCAATTGGTACTGTTGAAGATTAATCAGTTTTATGATGTTTTTCTGATTAGATGGTTTATGTTAGTTGTTAGATAGGAGGTGGGGACAACAGTAGTTATGTGAGTCCAAATTTTATTATGTTTTTGAGTGTTATATATGCTGTTTTATGTTTTGCCACCCTATAAGGGCATAGTTGTCTTTGTATTGTTCTATTATTTTTAGAATAAATAATAAGTGAAAGGGGCGGCCAGATAATTGCTCTCTTTTCTTTTTAACTTCTCTTCTTCTCTTTTACTTGGTATCAGAGCATCGGCTAAGGTTTCTTGAAGAGTTGGACTCTTTGTTTTTTATCTAATCTTGGGTGCCCAGGAATTGTTAGTTTTCTTTTAATTTTCTGAAGAGGGCGGTTTGGTTTCTAGAATTTTCTGAGCCTCCCGGAGTGATCGATTTACTCTCCCTCAGTTGGGAGGCGTGGGGAGGAGAGAGATTTCACTCCAACTAGGGTTTTCTTCTTCCAGAAGGGTTGGTTTCTGTATGTGTAATATTAAATTATTTTTTCAAGGTCTCCAATCTATTTTTTCATACTATTGAAACTGTTTGAAGTAAAATGGAGAGTTGGAATACCGAGATGAAATCTACCGGTACTGTGGGACTAGGTGTTGGAGGTAGTAGTGATATTTTTGGGTCTGGGATCATTACTACAGAAAAACTTGGTGGTACAAATTATTTGGAGTGGGCACAATCAGCTAAGATGGCTATTGGTGTCTGTGGAAAATTAGGGTATCTCACTGGGGAGGAGAAGAAACCTGATCCAGACTCTTCCCGATGGGTGTAGGAGAATTACATGGTAATGTCCTAGCTGTGTAATTCTATGTTACCTCATATTTCAAAAAATTTCCTATGGGCTAATACTGCTAAGGAGATTTGGGATGCAGTAACTGAAATCTACTCTCATAAGCAAAATGAGTCAAAGCCTATAAGTTAAGAAATAAGGTGATAACTATGAAACAAGGAGAAAAATTGAAATCTACTCTCATAAGCAAATTGATTCATGTCATTGTGGTGTGTTTCTGTGTAATACCCTTAAACTGGACACTTAATGAGACTCGTGTTAGTTTAGAATCTTCACAACCATTGGATAGATCTGGGGAGATTTATCCTACCAAGGCTGACACTGATGTGCCGCCAAGTTGGTTGGAGTGGCTTGTCTCAACTGCCAGGGTGAGACCTAAGGTACATGCTGTGTGGGTTTTCTTGAAACCTTGAACCAGACCAAATTCCAGTATTGCCCTGGACCTTGGAGATAAATGGGCAAAATTGGAATGTTACACCTGACCCCTAGACTAGATTATGGTACTACACTAGGTGTCGGATTGGGCTGTCTTTGATATGCCAATCAGTGAGATCCTTAGATGGGGTCAAAACCTGGGTATGTTGGGACAATCCAAGAATTCACCTGAGTGGGTGATCATAGTGACAGAATCAGCCCCTTTGTCGGACAAAGTGAATGATCGGGGAATGCACTCTCTCTGATGGAAACCTAAACTACTGGCAGTTGATTTCAAATGTTGAAATTTGTTTTTGCAAAATATATTTACATATATATATATATATATATATATTATGGTTTCAAAATTTTTGCAAAAGGTTTTAATTCCCAGGATCCATGTGAGTAGAGAGTGCAGCATTGTACCTTGCAGCCGAGGGAGAGGTCCTCTCTTGTCGAGCAATGTTTGACCATTAAGGGCTGAGAGGTTAAGTGTAAGACCATTGAGGATAATACCTGATGGGCTAATCTTGCATCTACCCACAGTTCTTGGGTTTTCATAAGGTGGCTGGATCCAAGAACCATTTAGTGTAAATGTTGGGCCCATTAAGAGCCCATGGTGATGGACTCATGGGTTCACTGTCTCCTACAGTGAATTCGGCTAGGCCTTGTAATAAAGGCTGGGCCGAACCCATGTGGCTGATGTGTAGATCAATGGTAGGGTCCCACGCCATACAAAGAGAGCCAACTAGGCAGTAGGTTAAAGAGTAAGTGAGCACATAACCTTAATGGGCCTAAGGCCCAATTCAAACTGGGCTTAAGTTAGTTAATTAAAAAAGGGGCGAATTCAGTTTTAAACTGATTAGGATTAGCTGAAGGATAAGATAAGTCTTATCCATTTAAGAGTCCAGATCCAAATATCATATTCGGATTAGGAAACTTCTCCTAATTAGATTAGAAGGCTGATCCAAAAAGGGCTATAAATAGAGGGCGAATTCTTCAGTTAAAACACACTCTCAAACACAACAGCAATCTGTAGAATTATTCCCAGTTATTGCTGCCCTACCCAGTTCAATCTCTACTTGTGGATCTGATCAAGAAGAGTTCTTGACATTGTTTCTTGGCAAAAGAAACAATCAAAAGGAGTGTAAACCAGCCCTTGCTCGATTCTTGCTAAAGAATTCAGGTTCTTGCTGAAAACCATCCTGTTGATCCTGCATCACTACACATTGTATCATCTTTAGTGGAAGTGGGTTTTGGTCTTTCCTTTGGGCGTGAACACCTACGTTGGGAGTTACTACTACTTCGTATTAGGTATATCCCTCACTTCCTATTGGTTTCAGATCTGGTCCGGTTTGGATTCAAGAACGAACCTTGAAAATACGGTTTTTTAAATCAGGGAATACAATTCCTGGGTGGGAGAGAGAAATTTTTGAAATTTCGCCCAACCTTCTCGTAGGGTTCAGCCATCCATATGATGAATCTCCCATCCCTTCACTATAGGGATGTGAAAGTCCATCATAAGAGAGAATCTGGGAGAGTAGTGAATTAAGTACAACGATGCTTGCCCTTACGAACTGCAAATGGGAGGTCAAGGTCATCTGATGGTAGGGGTTGAGGCTCAGCAGTGCTAGGTATATCATCTTCAATAGTGGGCTCAGTAGTGGAGGTAGTACCTGTAAACTAGAGCTGAACCGAGCCCAGCCTAGACTGTTGAGAACTAAAATCGACCCGCCTCCATCGTATATGAAACACCCTCAATTCCCTTCACTTTTGAAAACCCTCTTCACCACTCTCCCCTTCAGTGACTAGAATAGGTAATGGAACTTATGGGGCTGAATTACCCAACTCACCACTCTCCCCCTGAGAAGCAAGCTTATGATAGTAGGGTACATCCTCAAAAAATGGCACATCCATAGAAACAAACCGTCTACTAGAAACAGGGTCATAACAGCAGTACCCCTTTTGATTTTGTGCATACCCAAGGAAGATACACTTAGCAGATTTGGGATCAAATTTGGAGCGATGAGGACAAAGAATTTGAACAAAACAAGTACATCCAAAGGTTTTAAGAGATAGTAAACAAATCCTTGTTTGGAGATAAGAGGTTAAATGGTGTTCTCATCTCTAAAACCTGTGAATGAATTCTGTTAATGAGATATGCATCTATACGGATGGCATACCCCAAAACCGTATGGAAACATAATAATTCAGCATGATGCTTCTAACTACCTCCAAGATATGTTGATTTTTTCTCTCAGCAATCCCATTTTGCTGAGGTGTATGAGAATAAGTGCTCTGATGGATGACCCCAAAATCAAGGAGATATGAAGCCAAGGGTTTTGCAAAATACTCATTGGCATTATCAGATCTGAGGATTTTGGTCCTAACTACAAATTGGGGCAACACCATCTGATGGAAGGCCCGAGTCAGAGTAGGGACCTCATCTCGAGAGAGAATAAGGTAAATCCACGAGAAACAAGTACAATCATCAACAAACAACAAGAAGTATTTGTACCCCCCCCCTCAATAGTAGTATGATATGGTCCCCAAACATCTATATCCACAACTCAAAATGAACATTGCTTCTTTTATTGCTCAAAGAATAAATTGATCTACAATGCATTGCAAATTCACAACTCTAACACCTCAAAGTTGACACTTGAACTAACTCAAACAAATTAGGAAA